TTTAAATTAATGTGGTTGACAAAAACTTTAAGATCTTTATTGAATAGCAATAATAAATTGAAAAAGAATCGGTGAAATGATCAAGGAGGAGGGGAATATAATGTTTATTTACAATATCTTTCTTTTAAGACTAAGATGAGTAATTATTATTTTATACACATTAAATTTATTTCTTTTATAAATTTAAGTACCGCTTAGACTTTAAGGAAAATTTTATAAGATGGCGGTGATACCTAAAATGCTTTATGGCGCAGAATGTTGGCCTTTAAAAGAGAAGCATAAAACAAAAATAAGTGTAGTTGAGATGTAAATGCTTAGGTGGATGAATGGCTTGACACTTAGAGACAAATGCAAAACAAATCTATCCGTGAAAGGGTTGGTGTAGCTCCAGTTACAGACAAGATTAGAAAGAGTTGTCTTAAATGGTTTGGTCATATTAAATGTTAACCATCTAATGACCCGGTCAAGAGTAGATGTTTTAGATTCGACTTTTGTTGAGAACGGCAGAGGTAGACCATAAAGACTTGAGCATATTGTATAAAAAATAATCTTAATCAATTAGAAAATATGACGCTCAATAGGACACAATAAATAAAAATGATCATGTAGCCGACCCCACTTAGTGGGATAAAATCTTGTTGTTGTTACTTTTGTTATAAATTTATTTATTTTATTGAGAAGTAATAGTGCTCTCAATAAATAACATTTTCATAGAACAAAAAAAATTTAAGTGAACATGTACTGTTTTAAATTATTTCACTTTTATACTATTTAAAAAGTCTACTAAATGGATTTAATGGATTGAAAGGAATTAAACATCGTTTAAATGAAAAGCAAATACTCAACTCAATCAGGAATCATCCATTTATAATACTAGTTGAGAATATTGTTGTGCTTGTGCACAAAAATAAAAATTGAAATGAATCTGATTGTACTTTACTTGGAACGGATTTTTAATGGTGCTCCTGAGATGACTTCTTAAAAGAACGAAAAATAAAAAAAGTAAATGATAGAAAAATAAAATAATGAGTCATTATTAAAATGAAAATTTTAAAGCTTACTTTATAGATTAATCATGTTTCTTTTGAGCATTCATTTGTAGACATTTGTATAATAATTTAGTGTCTAATAAAAATGTAATTACTTACGACATTGTTGTAAACATAATGTGTTATTTAATTATTTATTTCAAGAAAAGATAAACTAAACTAAAATGAATTATATGAGAGAGTATATCTATAAGATTTGGTTCAAGTGAATAAGGTATTAGACTTTATTTTATGTTTGATTTTTTTTTATAGTATTGTTACACTTTGGATGTTTTTATGTTAGTATAAATGATATTTTGGGATATTGTTATGGTTTAGTGGCTTTATTTTGGGCGATTGTTATTGTAGTTGTACTATTGTGACTGTTAAATTGAGATATTACTATTATTCAACCATCTGTTCCGCCTTAGTAATCTAGGTACCGAACCAAGTTGTGACAAATCCAATGTGATTTCTAAGTTTCCTTGTTCATATCAAATACACACGATTCTATTTTTTACAACCTTATCAACAATTTGATAATAATTTAGTCAGCTATGTATCCCAAATTTGTCGGTTTCATCTTATTGTTAAATTTTTTTCACACTAACCATAGTTGCCAATGACATTTTGACCACTTAATGCTCGGGACCATACAATAACAAACCCAATTATAACTTTATTAAATATATCTCGAGTTTCATTGATATACTCCTATCATATATTAGTCCAAACATACCCCTTTATTTTAATCATTTAAATCTAAAATAAATATCATCATTGATATCCACATTCATCTATATAAAAGATCCAAAATACATTATTATATTAGATATTACTATCACTTCATCTTATAATAACATTGTCGGATAATTAATATATCTCTTTTATTGATTCCTTGTTCTAAAATCCTAATCCACTTACATTCTAACTAATTAAAATTATCATAAGAAAAAGGCATATATCAAGCAACTACATAACTAATAGAAAAAGATCCAAACTTAATGGTAAGCCTTTGATGTAAACCTATTGTAAAAGAGAACCTTTTAATTAACCCACAATTGCCTCTAATGTTGGTGAATGTTGTGGCTCGTGCCTTTGATAGCTCGAAGATGCCTTTTGACGCACGCAAGTTTTCTTTTTGGGAGAGTCAAATTTTCTAATAGCACTAAATCTTAATACCATCTCAAGATTCATTAGAAATAATATGAATAACATTTCTTGCTCTTCATACTTTTTCATTAATTTTCCTAAGATTAAAAACTGCCTCAGAAGGATAAAACCGAATTAATTCTGTGCCAACAACAAAATATATATTAGTTTGCATTCAAAAACATTGAAATGATGTTATTGAATGCAAAAAAAGGCAAACGCTACAAGTGCAGTGCATAGTAAAGCAGTAAAATTGGGAACCATCATAAAAGAAGTGAGCTTGCACTATAAAACACAATCAAAGCACCAAGTGTGCATTCCAATCTTTCCTTTGAAAAGCATATGCACACAATCTATGTCTTTGCAAAGAGAGAGAAACAATTAAGCGCTCGGTAGAGCGCATGTGCACACTCCACTCCTTCCTAGTCAAAGAACAATTGAACAATCTGTAGAGCACGTGCACACGCTTTGTTCCTTCTCAAATAAAGAATAGCTAAATGATGGACTAATTTCTTCTAAGGCCCGCCAATCACATGCAGACTCTATTACGCCCTAATTGTCAATAATATTGCCATGCCAATATTTGATTTAAAACATAACATCTCATAATTTTGTTTTTTAAAATGATTATTAAAAGATATAACAGCTTACAATGTTTCTTATGATATGTGAGATTCAATTAACTGAAGTCCCCACATTGTTTGCACTCAATGCTTCAGAGTAAATTAAACAATTTTGTGTCGACAACGCTTTGCTCGCTGACAAATATAATCTCGCATAAGTTTGATTCTATACACTCACTAAAAATTTTGAATATACCTTTTGTTCTTGTACATTAAAAAAAAAAAAATTTATCTGTTTACATCCTGTTACATTTCCAAGTTTCATTGGACCAAAATATTTCAATATCAACCATGAAGCTTTATAAAGAAATAAATAACTCTTCTAAACCTAATACTTTTTGCCATACACATTTTCTTCAGAACTCTACTTCACTCTATACCATATACCTTATCATTTTGTTCATTATGTTATTCTGAAAAAATTTCGATACCACTCATTAAATAAATTCTTAATGTAGCATTTTCATTTATTTTACTTGATGAATTCATCTTTAAATAAGACCTTATTACAAAAATTTCAATACATTTAACCTAATCAAAAACTTTGGATCACATAGCTCTTACTAATTTTATTTATCATATTCTCCTTAAAAACTACCCAACCTATTTCATCACAAATTATGGTTATTTAAATCTTTTTTTAAAAGATTTTACTTATGGTAAACTTTCATAGTATTTACTTGTTTAAATCCTTAAAAGCACGTTAAATTCTCTATAAAAAACCTATTGTAATTTCTGGATGTACGACCAAGTCTCACTATATAAGGTCTTTTTAAACTCTCCAAAAAGATTGATTCAACTATAGAATTCAAATTTGCCTTCCTAAACAAATTTACATAAGAGATTAACTCCTCACTATCAAATTCCAACATATCATGTTAAGGTTATTTTTTCACCAGTTAATGTTTTGTATTCCTTAGAGATGCATCCATAACTATTAATCTATTTAGTGTGTCTTAGATTAACCTTACAATCATTGCAAAAGAATTTTCCATTCCGTTTAAGAAAAAAACAAGTCTAGTGTAAGATGAGATTTATTATCATATTTATTTCTCCTATTTATCACCCAAAATGAATCTTCCCAAGGCCATCATCCTAGTAGAGCATACATGTATTTTTAAATCACTTTGAATATGCATTTTCTCTTAATCAACAAAATTTTATAATAGCTCAAGAACATCATTGCACAATTAATTATTTGTATTCTTCTCAATCAACTTGAAAAGCAATAGTATGAATCGCATTTCTAATGTCCACATTAACTATCAACTTAATATCAATCTCTTTACCATTAACCAAATTCAACTGAACTTTATATTTCAACTCTTTATCTACCACTATGCCACTTCATTTCTATTGTTAACCCTTTCAACAAACAATAGCACATAAAATTCCCTTATATTTCTTAATTTTCCCTTCTCATTACATTTATTGCAAACAAGTAAAATATCATTTCTTACTCCAAAAACTACTAAAAAATGTCTGATCTTCCCAATCAATGTCCAGCAATCTCATATAAAGAGTAAAAAATAACTTAACTCAATGTCGTTGGAACCAGCCATATCTTTCCAAACAACAGCTCCGTCCTGGAATATTATAAATGATCCCAAGTTGAAAAGAAAAAGTACTATTGAAGCATATCTGCTGGGATATGTATTGCCATCCTAAATCAACTAATATGACTCCAAAGGCAAAAGAAAATAAAAGCCAACAACAACAACAAGGATTTAGCAAATTTTCATGTAGAATGAAGATGAACCATTGGACTAAGTATACTTTTGATGCATAAGGGGGAATCGATGCATGCACAATAACAATGATAAATCAGCATCACAACATATCAGGCAGAAGATATAAAACATGTCAAAACACAATGAATTTAAGAATATCAGATTCTGAGGTTTAGATAAAGGATGGGTACTTCAAAACTTCACATCGGGTTGAAACAAAAAATAACATTTAAGGAAGCAGAAATGAATTTGAAAGAAATATGAAAGAACAATAAGTTAGCAAAAATAAGTAACACTGTAGTGTGAAGCTATTTAAACTGAACAAGATCAGTGAAAAAAGGATCTCAAGAAAAATATATATATATAAATCAGAGCTTGGGCTTCCTCCAAATGACGCATAATGAAATATCAAATTGAAGTGTTTGTAAACTGAATTCAACATTAACGACAACCCTTAATGCTCATACCTCTGTGTATGAAGTTCTACATCTCTCAAAAGCACGTTCAAGAAATGTTTGAACATATTCAATTAGTTCATTGGAATATTTTGGTATCAACCTTGCCCAGCTGAGTACCTGAAACATGCAAATATAACTTGAATACTCCAGGCAGATTTATTATCCTATTCCATAGGAAGGGAAAAAGGTTCACCTCTTTCGCTAAGTAATCAATAGCTAATAAACCTTGCAAAACTGGTCGCCCCTGCTCTACTAGCGGACTATACATTACAGTAGCGTGAGCACGTGGCCTAAAAGCCGCTGGACCTGATATGAAATTTCAGGCAAAAAACATCAGGAGAATGTTTAACAGAAATGATTGTGAAAAGCACTTCTACACTAAATATTCTTTAGTAACATAAAATGACTGAAAATATTGATTCACATGAACGGGGAAAACTTTAGGGGAGTAGCCAAAACAGTAGCATTAATTGATGGATCAACGTGCACTGAAATTAACAGAAAAATAATCCAATGACATAATACAACACTGCATAACACACACGTTACAATTCAGACGCTTATATAAAGGAGAATATAGGAAAGATCCTAAAATGGTGTACAATAGAAAAGATTGTCAGAGATTTAAAAACATTTATTGCAAGCTCATTTTAACAAATAAATCTCCATAGTACTTATTATCTTATAATTCTTTTTCGCTGTCTATTTCTGATAAGTCAAAAATGGGTTGAAGATTGGATTCATTTATTATTGAAATAGATTTTACATGACTTTATTTAGTTTTCTGAGGACAATTATTTGCATAATGACCTTCTTGTTTACATATCCAACATTTATTATTTCTAATTTATTTATTTTTTGTATTATTTTCTTTTCTTCTAAAGGTTCTTTTATTAGGATTATAATATTTTTTATTTGTTTTTCTGAAGAATTTTTTCTTTTTCTTTTTTGCAAAACACTCATAGGTGTTATGTAAAGAACATCCTCATTGTTGAGGAATTAAGTCAGATTTTTCACAGCACAGAGATTGCTTATATTATTTATTTTTCTTGTGTAAATCAACTTGTTTGCAGGTTTCAGCTAATTTTTCTAAATGCTATAGTGTTATGTTGATTACTATATGCATAAACAATTTGATATGTAATGCTATATACAGCACTTCCTTTTCTTAATTTTATTTTATCAAGTTTATGGCGTAGTGTTAATGATCCATCTAAGTGTTTATCATTAATACTTACGGCATAATTAGGGTGTAGATTAAACATAAGTGTTTGATAGCATAAATTACCTTGTATTACTCCTAATAGAGCATCTTTTTTGTGAATGAATAATTCTGTATCATAGATCCATATTGTAATAAGACTATCTTTTTTTTTTCTAAAATAAGCTTTAATTAATATTTGAATTCCTCCAAGGAAATTTGTTTATACTTTTCAGAATTTTTTATATTTTGTAGAACTTGTTGTTTTATTTGTTGATTATATAAAGAAATTCGAGTTATTCCTTCAGTATTAATTATATCTATAGGAGGTTCTCCTTGTCTGATAGTGTAATGAATACTTCTTTTCCAAATAAATATTGGTATTTCAAAGCAATCCTTGGTTCCTAAGGATAACTTTCTTTATGTTATTTTATTATAGACTTCTTCATATAATGTAATATATCTTCATATTCGATATTATTATCATTAATTATATCAGACTGATGATTTTCTGACATTAATCAGAATACAGGTATTCATCTATTTCATGATCAGAATAAATAATCTTTATAAGATTTTCTTCAGTATCTAATTCGTATAAGTCAACCCAAGAAGATTGGATTCATTTATTATTGAAATAGATTTTACATGACTTAATTTAGTTTTCTAAGGAAAATTATTTGCATAATGACCTTCTTGTTTACATATCCAACATTTGCATAATGAAATAGTTTATATATGGATGTTTGTAAATGCATGCTAATGGGAGGAGCTCACCTCCTTATTATACAGTTAGGGGACGTCAGTGTACCCGCACATAGATGTTTTCCTATCACCCTAGAGAATTATCAGTTTAGAATGCTCTCTTGTGCCAGCAAGAGAATATCGGTCAAGGGCGAGTAGGCATCTTTCCACCTTAGACAATCATATAGGTTAGATCACGGGCCGCTATGCCGACGAGATAATATTAGTCTCGGCTGCATTAGGTTATATTTTAACGGTAATCCTAAGACAGATGTCAATGTTAATAGCATAAATTAAAAGTTATAAACAACTTTAAAGAGTATGGTTAAAGTTAATTCATATTAAAATTTATATTATTTTCATTGAGTAAATGTCATGAGTACATATATTAGGTTATTATAAAATTGTTATAGAAATGTGAAAAACCAGCATACATATTTTCTCTTCCATAGGTTACTGTAATTTAGATGTGTAATTGCTCCTGAGTTATCTTTAGATAACTCAATATGTTATTTTAACATTTTTTTCATGTTTTAAGTTTTTAAATAAGATAAATAGAAGAGAAGTTGTTGCGTACCAAAGGCAAGATCAACAATCAGAAAGGTAAAACTTTTACTTACTAATTAAATTATTTTCTTTAGTGACTCTTTCATAAAAATTTTAATATTAAATTCTTAGTTATAGAAATAGAATATCATAGAATTTAAATCCACCATCTGACAGTTCATTCTCGTCATGGTTAATTCGAAACCCTACGTCAGGTCGTGACAGATTTGCAGCACCTACAATAAATTTTGAATCTTTTGGAAAATAGAGCTACACGGCCACCAACAAAAATTTAATTTTTAAACATCAGATACATGTTTGGGATATATTATTTCTGCATCTATCAGTGACGTGGACCCAGTCAAGATGAAAAGTCGTAGTGAACTGGCCCAATCCATAGTCCTTTACTCAAGTATGCATGTTTCATAAACGGATTTAATTCAAAAAAGGCTTATCACAATCTTCAGTTCTATAGCAACGTTGCTAATGAAGCTCCTCAAAGCACATAGAATTATATGTTCCAAAAACAAAATGTTATTTTTGATGCATTAAGAAACAAGTTACTGATGCCCCAATGCTAACCCTTCAAAATTTTAATCAGGTGATTCTTCAATGAGAAAATTGGAACAATGTCAAGTCAAGTTGAACATTTCATCGCCTCCTTTAGTGAGAAATTGAATGATTTAAGCTAGATGTATTCCACCAACAAGAAATTTTGTGTTACAATAAGAGTCCTTAGTCAGTTAACTCCTTATTTGCTACCAATGAGATTATTCTCTATGCTGATCATGAATCCCCAAAAATTTTGAACTCAAAAGCATTTGAAGGGTAGACATGCCTTCTAGATAGAGCCCTTATCTTCCTATCATTTTGTACTCAAGTACAATGCAATGAGCTAGAACAAAATAGTTGATTCTTTGAGTCATCACCACTTATTTTTCACTACTATGCAGTCAAAATTGATTAATTTTGAAGGACATGTATGCCACTAATGAATATTTTCCGGCAATATGGATCTATTGCTAAGAGAGAGTCTATGAGTAGACCACATATTTGATAGCCATGTGTTCTTCCTGGAAGAGGTTGTGCATTGTTAAGAGTTCACTCAAGAATAATATTTTCCCGGAACGCCACAACGAAGGGATGACACAACAATTTGGTCCAAACAACAACTTTCCTTAATAAAATTAAACTTTTAACACCCTGGATTGGCCTGAGATGTGGAGAGGCATATCTATCAAAGCAGGTTCTATCATTTAGCTAAAACTCAGGACAACATATGTTTTTTTTTATTATAATAATGATAAATCGCTTCTCCAGAGTAGGTTGTTCCTATTTCAAAGCTGTCTTGGGTGAATGTAAGCATGGACTGCATGTGGGTCTGCTTCAGACATAATAAAGTAAGGATTTTATTATGATGGTGTAGATCGCTTCTCCAATATAGCAAATGTTGTATCTAGTCATAAAACAATTGATGGTTTACGCATCATTGATATTTACATTAGAGAGATGTTAGTATTCACGACGTGTCTAGGATCATCACTTCAAAGAGATATTTAAAGTTTATGAGTCGTTTTTGGAGGAGATTGTAGGATGAGCTAGCACATAGCACCAAATCAGTTTAGCAACTCACCCTTGAAAAATGGACAGTTGAAGTAGTTAAACACAATTTGGGAAATCTACTTTGATGTTTTATGGGCAAGAAAACCATATAGTGGGACTTGATTCTTCTTTTGGTTAGGTTTGCTTATAACAGGTTCACAAGCCACATCCCACTTGAGATTATCTAAATACAAAATTCTTTCATACCTTTTGGACTTGGGGTCTGTTTGGGGCAGCTGCAGATTATTGATAATCTATTGATCATCAGTTAATCCGAAAAAGTTGGTTGTCTGTTTGGTTTATGTGTTTGGAAAACAGTTGATTTGCAACTGTTTATAAATTAGGGAACAGTTTAGCATAAATTCAACAACATATACTCAACACAGAGATATTTTTAGAATGTCAAATTAGAACATAGACAACAAATAATCCATTCAAGTCAAATATATTCATATTTAGAATGTCTAATTCGAACATAAACTTCAAATATTAAATGAAAAGTCAAATATCCATTTCCACTCACCTCCTGAACTGCCCTATCGAGACTGCGGCGGCAAGGGAGAACTACTCGTTCGGCGTCCTTTGATCAACAGTTACCTCCATAGAAAAAAAAAACATCTTCGAGTCCATTTCCTGTGACTCGCCATCAATCTCCAATTTCAGCTTCAACCCAGAGCTCACCCTCTATTGAACGGCACTTTATACAATACAGCCAATGCAAACAAGCAACAGAAACAGCGTTCCTAGTAAGCGACAAGTAGAGCACCTGGATCGATGTCAGCAAACTTCCATCTGCGGCCACCGTTACCGCTTCCAAAAGAGTTCAGAAAGTGGAGGCGGCGATCCGGTACAGCGATAGAGAAACAAAATTGGGGCAGTGGTGATGATGAGGGCAAGAGCAATGACGAGGCAGAGAGGTAAGATTTTAACTCCAAACGAGGGTCGCGGGGTTCGACCCGTAGCCGACGAATAATAGAAATAAAATCGCGCATGTCGCGATAAGCTGCACGAACAGAGAAACCAAAATGGTCGAGCCACGTTTTGAAAATGCTTATGTTGATAATAGGCTGCGCCAAACAGCCCCTTAGTGTATACTTCCATTTACTAATTTTATTACTAACGTCAAGGCCAAAATTAAGGAGAATCAGACCTTACATGCGCAAGTGAAAAAGAAAAGTGCTAAGCAAAATGCCAAATTACAAAAGCATTCAGCAAGTCGATCTTCAAGGGTGGGTGACTTGGTGTGAATTAGGTTGAAGAAGAAGAGATTTCTAACAAGTTCACTTGAGAAGCTTAAATCAAGAGTTGATGGTCCATTCAAAATTTTTAAGAAGATCACTGAAGATACATTTAAAAGCAATTTGGTTGGGGATTAAAGCATTTTTTAACCTTCAATTTTGTTGATTTATCATCTTATTATGAGAATCTAGATGCTTCTGATGATGAAAATGAAGCCTCTCCCACCCAAGAAGAATGACGTGCACATCCAAACCCTATTTGAGTGTAGCCAGGCAGAATTGTTCTAATCGACTCAAGACTTGGCCAGTTTACGCCTTTTTTGCCACCCCCTAAGGAACCAATCGGCCCTTTTAAGGCAGCTATTTGCTTGCTTTAATTAGAATTAGGGTTATTTATGTTTGTTTTAATATAAATAAGTTATTTGCAGATTGTATTATGACTTTTGGTTTAGATTTTATGCTATCAAAGATTGTTACTCTGGCTTTATTACTTTGGAGGTCGTAACCTGCTTTTCCTTCAAGTAATTTGCATGTAGCTTGATCGAGAGAAAGAAGTACATCCACCTCGACGCCTACATATTGCCTACCTAGCCGCCAAGCTCTTATCCTTAATATTGCATTTCCTAAAATTAGCAGCAGCAGCCCTATTTTCTCCTCCAACTAGACCTACAAAACCCCAACCCTTTATGATTCCTTAAAAATCCTCTAAAAGCCCTACATAGGTGCACTAAGTGATAGAAGAATACCCTAGTGACTGCAAGAATACGGTGTATTTAGCTTGGAGCACACAAGGGTAATTCTCAATACATGGTACTCATGATGCTGCCCTAATTAGATTCATTTTCACAATACAAAAGAATAGGTAGGGTCAAACTAACAAAAGCACATGAAATATCACATTTCAGTAAGAAATGGCGACTAACCAGGAAGATCAGATACTTCCTGGAGAATAGCAATCAGACAATGGAAGAATGGGCAACTAAAAAACTGCAGAATTTGTAGCGAAAAATACCTAGTGTCCAAAAATCTTCTTCTAAATTATTTTGTCAGAATGTTGCCACAACTATTATGATTTTAACAGTAAGGTCAGTTATGAGTTTCGAAGTTAAATCACGTGATCCAAGTTAAACTAGCGTCTTATAACTGCCAATTTTTAGCCAAACCCCAAAGCAGAAAAATTATATTGCTTTGGTAAATTTGGACAATAGACTTGGGACACAGCACTTGGTGCTTCTGGATGTTCTTTTCATTTCAGAATAATGCAAGGAGGGTTGTCTCTTACTCTCCTTGCATCCATTTTTTTCTCAAGGAGTAAAAAAATTCCACTTGTGAATAAAAACTGCCATAACATATTAACACAGCAAAGGTCAATAAAATTAAGATAATGAGACCACAAAAAAAAAACACCTGGCTATAGGAGCTAATTGATGATAGAAAAATGATGTCCAGGACAGGCACAGGAAAAAAGCGTCTTAATATCCACCTAAATATTGTATCAACAATAACATCTTAAGATGCCATTGCTCATGCCAATATAGAGTAAAAATTCTAAGTCAATTAAACAACAGTGAAATGCAGAAGAACTAGAAGGTTGGCATGTATTCATGGTGTATGAAATTGAACCTTACTTGATATAGCTTGTTGAACACATTTTCGGTAGTCTACAAACATTGCTGGCAGAAAATGGTCCTTCAGAAAATTCTCTATAAATGCTAGTAAGCCATCATTTCTGCCAAATTGAAAATGGTGGTTCGTATGTAAGGTCAAGACTTAGATTATGGCCGGTCATAATAAAGAGAAGAGGAAGCCTGAAGCATACCCAATTCGTGAATATTTTAGAGGTAACATTGATGCAAGTTTGTCTGTGAACTGCAAAAAGAAAAAAAAAAAAAAAACTACTAGCGGACACAAAATAATTCACTAAAAGTTTTGGCCTAATCAATTGGAATTAATTTGTAAAATTATACCTGAAGCACTGGCCGATAGACAGATGCGGCAAGGTAAATACCTTCTTCAGAAAGCACAGCTGCAGTACCATATCCTTCTTGTTGTACATTAGATCCTCTCCTCCATCCTTGGCCAACTCCTAAGATAGTTGGAAAATTTTTCCGGTTAGTATCCTAGCTGAATCAACCTGCAAGTCAAGTATAACATGCAAAATTGATGTGCACATGCATGCACCTCTATCACTGAGCAATTATATCAAAGGACGTATTTTACACAAACATCTACAAAAATACAGATGAAAAGGTATTTAGAGACAAACATAACATATACAGGCTCAAACAACTCCGCATTCAATGAGCTTGAGAATTTAATCATTAATTTGTTGCTTAATCAGGTTATTTCATATACCTGAAATTGGTTCCCTAGAACTATTCTTGTAATCAGCTGTCAATTGTACTGCAACTTGTGCAACGGAACAATTTGATTTATTAAAACATTCAGAATTGTTCTCCTTCCACAGCGCTATCTTCTCACCCAATAACAAAAATTAAATAAAGATATAGATAACAAATAAGTCATAAGATTTTCATGTTTGTTAAGCTTTTCATGTTTTGGAACAATAACTTCCAATGGCTGATCATCAATTTTTCCAAAAAATCATAAGAACTTACCAGTCTGTCTCCATTTGATAAACCAAGTCAACACCCAAATACGCATTTAGATATGATTTCTCTCGGCAAGAAAAAGTCTGACATGGCAAAGAGTTGGAATAGAGCTAATGATGATTATGTTACCTTGTCTAATACATGTTGATAAAATAGCAAGATTGTGCTAGAGATGGACAATACAGGATACAACTTTTTTGGCTATTTTAGTCCCAGACTATTAATGTATTCAATTAAATCCCTAGACCACTCAAATGGGATCTAAAATTGTCCAACAAGAAAAATCAATGCCTAGATTGATAAAAAAATTCACACAAAGTTCACAAATGAGATGGAAAATGCCATGTTTAGTGCAAATTGAAAAAATAAAAACATCATTTAAAAAAAAGCTCATGTGCCCCCGTCTCATTCATAATTGTGTGAAATTTCCATCAAATTAAACAACAATTCAAATTTTGAAACTTAAGACTATTTGGGAGCATATTTAAGGAGTCAAGTAACAAAATTGGACACTTTAAATAATCTGAGACAAAAATGGCCTCCCATAACTAATCTAGGGACTATTTTGATCATTTCCTCAACCCTAATTTAAAATGCAGCTTATGCCTAAAAATATAAGTATAAATGACTAATCCCAATAACATTATTGAGCTCTCTTGAAAAACAAATAATCTTTAAGCACTCCACTTGCAAAAAAACTTCAACAACTTCATTAAATTTTGAGAATTAAATGCTTGATAGCAATATTCAAATGCTAGTTCTGCCCTCAACTCTATATGCAAGAAAACAACCGCATGAAAATTCATTTTGCATTTCTGCCAAGTGGTTTTTGCATAAAGGCTTAGAGGTAATATCCTTAACCATAAATTACGTGATAGGAATAATTCACTGAAAGAGTAATGCAAAGACACTTCCGCTAACATGTAGCAAAAGAATGTTTACACATTTTTAGCAGGAATCATAGATGACTTGCCGTGCCTAGGCATCGACATAAACTTACAAGCCAAATCATATAAAGTTTGCCACGTCATTGATTGTTAATATGTATCATTTTCCAGTTTTAACTTTACCGTAGATAACCATCACAAATGGGTTTTAAAGCCTAGTTTTCAATTGAGTTAAGATTTTAAAATACCAAATTTATCACCTTCTCTTGGCTACATATAAAGTGTAAACCATCAAAGCAGACACCTATTTATAAAGTGCATCAAACAGAGAAGTGGCTGTAGATGGTACTTGGGAATATGGTAAATATGTGAATGCTTTCCATATGGCACATAGTGCAGCCGCCAGGTAGAAGATGGCAATCATAAACTTATAAAAGAATAGCACATTAGTCAGATGCATACCTTGGTTGGCCATAGACGAGCCTGGATCTGTAAACCGAAAAGCAAACGAAAGACCATCAGCTCCATCCCTATTGGCAATGAATTAAATTAGGTATTCCTTGTTGTTCTAAGACATGACACTAATATAAGCAGAGAAACTAGATCACAGTCATTTCTGCTTGAGACAAACCATAAAACCAAGATGGACCGGCAGGACAAGATGTTGCTTAGCCGAATTAAAGTGTGAAAATATGAAAAAGGCAACCAACTTATGAAGGACAGACCAGGAAAAAATTTCACTCTGTGCCACAAAACTGCAAAGTGCTAATGCTCTATTAGCACTAAGGACATCAACCAAAGAGATATCCAAAAAGAAATACTTAAATGAATCATTGCTTTAAGCCAACGAAGTCCTGAGCCTTTAAACTGTAGAAAACAGGAACAGGCAACCAACAGATAAAGCTTCACACATTCTCCCTTCCTATTTTCATGGTTATTAAAAAAATTTGACAAAACTTCACACATTCTTCCTTCCTATTTTCATGGTTATTAAAAAATTTTGACAAAACATTATTAAATCTTAACTCAAATATATAGTAAATTACAAAAAAGAAGCAAATTCGAATGAAGCAAAGACGAATGGAGAAAACTAAAAAAAAAAATTAAAAATATAACAATCAAAAAGTAGCATATAGTTTCTCTGTTAGAAGAAATAAAATATAGTATAGAAGCAACAGCACTTGCCTCTTCTCTTTTACAGGAGCCTTATTTGCAAGCCTAGCTGTTTGGACAGCAGCATCTGCAGTTGCAGCTTCTGGAGTTGCTCGCAATATTTCATAAATAAGTTGTTGGCATTCACTCTTTTTCCATACAAATTTTAAAGATAACACAAAAAAAAATTCAGCTTATGCCATTCACACATGTAATAGGATAAAAATTTGATATGCTCAGCAAAATAACCAGATTGTAAATCTCATTTCCAAAAAATTTTAAAAAAAAAAAGAGCTAGACTTCAAAGCTACCTGCATGACTGTCAAAGAAAAGGCTACACTAAAGCCACCCGCAACTTGCGATGATTCGGACTCTGAATTCCACACTGTTTCCCCATTCAAAGAGCTCTGCCTGTTTATAATATCGCCTGTCTGAGAAGATCTTGATTCCAGAAGTTCACCAACAACAACATGGTTCTCTGGCATAGTTCAGTGCACAGATTAGGGAAACTACAAATTGATCCATTAGACCAAATCAAACTTCAAACCAACTCACCAAATATACGAGTGATGGAATCCAAAATGTAACTAAGAAGCTCACTAGCAGCAGACTGTGCTGTTCCTAGCGGTGCCATTGTTAGAGATACAGGGCCAGTAACCAGCTGTGTCCCCAAAAGAGTTGTTCCATTCTTAACCTTTTGTTTGCTTCCAAATGTACCTTTAGAAAAAATATTAAATACAGCTGTTTTGCCAGGCTGATCAACACATGACCTTGATGAAGTCCTGGCTGCATAAGCTCTTATTTTCGATGTGATAATTTCATGAATAGTTGGTCGTAACCTTTGGCTGTTTCAAACCAGGAGGTAGCTGACATTAGAAGCACAAAAAATAAATTACAATCATAGTAGACTATGCAATCACGAAATTCCCCTAATTGACCATTACAACTAGATTTTACCACCTCAAAATGTCTCACTTTGACAAGTCAAGGCAAACTACTCTGAAATACTGATGAATTATTTCCAAAAGGCCTCCATTTCCCTCAATATGTAAATATATATCTATTTATCAGCATCCAGCAAGTCTTCACTTAAACGGTCCTATGGCCCTTAAAAGCAACATCACTAAATATAAATCTAGGAGACCTACTAAATCTAAGAAACCATAAAATAAACACAATATACAAAGAAACCCATCCTTATTTTTTATCTTATTCCAGAAATAATCCCGTTAAGCGGTAACTGAGAAAGGGCAAGCACAATGAACGATATATTTCCATACAAGAAACTTTAAAACAAATCTACAGCCAACTTCCGCACAGAATGGTTAGTAAGTCAAAAAGTAATAGAAAAGAATAAATCCAACAATCTTAATAGTCAATTAAGTTTAAAATCTCATTCACGGCACCGACAAATATTGAAATAACGCATAGAGAAAAAAAATTGGTTCCTTGAGGTTTTATAGCATTCTTCAAGATTACACTAAGCAAGCTTGTTCAGATAATATCTTTACTCAACCATTGTTTATAGGAAAAGATACAACATAACCAACCGTTAAACAAAACCAACTTAAGAAGGGCAATAACAATGAATGGTGAAAATAGGTCACAAAGCAGCTAGGTAATGATGATGATGATTATAAGGGTGAGGTGAAAATGATGATGGACTGAATGAGATTAAAGTTAGAAACTTATGTATTTACAGTGATATATACATGTAATCACGCAAATAGATATATAAAAAAGGATCTAAGATCTTAAAATTTGTCAAGGAAATAATAAACTCTATTAAACATTTCATCCACGCGAGTGATTAGGTTCACCCGTGCATTCGTCCATGCAAGCAAGCTTCCCTAGTCGCAACACTTCATCTTTGTTCCAATGCGACCATTTTGCAAGAGGGTACGACATAGTTTCCAGTTCCATTCTGCTACAGCTTTGGCGCAGAACATCGGTGTTGCTTTCGACTCTGTTGATGCCAACGCCTCATAGTGTCATCATCTACATCTTGTAAGCCCTCTATTGCTCCCACATTTGGCAGTCTCATGGTATCCTCATCAATACCATGAATGACTTTTATTCTTTCTCACATTTTTGGGCATGCAAGTTGCTTCGGTTGATTTTAATTAGGGGACCTTCACTTCCTACTTCCTCATAGCCCCATCATATCCAAACTCTTCATATGTGGACTTCTCCTAGGACCTTGGTTGACCTCGCATCCCCCCAAACCCACACAAACAAAAAAAAATGAGGCCACCATCTCCAAACTTGCCCTCACCCAAAAAAAAACCCAAACCCACGCAAACAAAAAAGTGAGGCCACCATCTCCTACCTTGGAACCCCAAATGCTTTGGTCGCTACATACTTCCTCCCACATGGTTGATCTTCCTCTGCCTCAACATCCTCGCTCTACTGCCAATGTAATTGTGGTTCGAATGTTGTGGATACATTCTCCTCCCCAATCAAGAACTATCCACTTTTCATTCATTAAATTTTAAAAATCTTTTACACAAGCAACCTTCAACTTTTTAGGGAAAATCTGCTTTGTTATTTTCTGACGAGAACATTTCAATGCTTGTTAGGTCTCACAACCTCTCACTTATTCACAAATTTTCTGTGGGATCCTAGCATGGAATTAATTATTGAGCTTGTATTGAATCAAAAACTATTGGATGACTACTCTGTTGAGCTAATTGAACCAAGGCAGGTCATCATAAAACTCTCATTAGTAGTAAATTATAGAAGATTAATTTCACAGAAGCCATACTATATAAAAGGGTTCCATATAAGCATGTTAAAATAATCTTCACATGTTCATAGCTCCGTGGAGCCAAGACATGTAAATGACCCAAGCAAGCTAGTGAGATGGCTCGAGCTTCATACGAGCTGAGTCCAAGATTAAAACTGGTTCATAGGCTCGTGAGCAAACTCGATAGCCCAGGCAAACTTAATATAATATATTAAATAGAAAAAAAAAACTTCAAAGGTGATTTTGGAAAGAGATGAATCCACTAAAAAATAAAACAAAAGAAAAATTGCATTAAATCTAAGAATAAACTCGCCAAAAAATGAATGAATTCCTTCTCACATCTTTCGCATTACCAATCAAGCCCATTACTCTTTCTTAAAAAAAAAAAAGGAAAAAACAACATGTAATTTTTTTTTCCCGCGCAATTTCACAATTCACGAATGATTGGTCACCTCTAGTTACTTGCCTCTATAGAGACTAGTTGTTGGTTCATCAATTTCTTCTTCGGCGAGCTCTGGTCGGGATTCCTTCAAAGACACTTCAACGAGCTTCTGTCACAGCTTTTGTTGCAAGTAACTCTTGAGTCGAGCTCTTGAGCCTGGTAAAATGCTCGAGCTCGAGTTTAAGCATATTTTTTTCACCATAGGAGTCGAGCTCGAGTTTAATGTTTTAATACAAAAAATAATAGTAATAATATATATATATAATACGGAAAAGATACATATATGTTGTATGAGAAGCCCTAAAAGAAAGTCCAACTCACACAATACAATGCACACAAAACCCAAATAAAACAAATAAACATAAAGGTAAAAAGCCACAAAAAGACGCAAAAGTGCTAGGGTCGTCCCACTTTAGTCCTTCTTCTGCCTCTAGTTCTTGGAAGTGAGTCGGCTAACAAAATTGGAAAGATGAGTATCATTGTTCGTAGTAACTAAAGTATCATCCATCAGATTTCTAAGCTCAAGTATGTCTTCATTCTTCTTCTTCCTTCTGGATGTGTAGACCTGTCATTCCTCATTCAATGATTGACACATCTGATCAGTAGATTCCAACGTTGGTCGGACAGGTGTAGGTTGTTGCGCATCACGATCCTCATGAGCCTGAGTAACATTAACAGTTTGCTCAACCTGATGAGATGATAGTGAAGCAGTAGAAGTATTGTCACTTGTATTATCGATGATATCTAAAGCAGGTGGGGTCTGAAAACTCGCCCTCTCCCCCACGATAGAAGGTTCCAAAAACGGGGGAGCAACAACTAGGAACTGAAATGTTGTCATATTACCTGCGAGAATAGTGACATCATCCGGGATATTCTTTTGATGATCAATAATGGCAATAACATGGAGCTGATCAGGAGATAGAGCACTATATTTTTTTGGTCTGAGTTGAGGGTGTAGATGGTGGCATTGAGAACTAAAGTGGCTAAACATACACAGTTTGAATAATACGAGGGAAAAAGCTCAATCACTACATTTTGTCAATATCCATGATGGTGATTTTATTTGTGGGTCAAAATCCACAAATCATTTTAGAATCTTTATCGCTCTGTTATCAATCCAGATTATTCTTCGAGCAAATAAGCGTGTGTAATCGTGTGTAATCCTCTTCATTATTTATCTTCTTTATTATTTAGTTGTATAAAAATGTGTGTTCCATATTTTCTATTTATTTTTCACTCCCCAATAAGGTGCATAAGCTCAAATTTCTTACGAATCAGCTCCATTTTGGGATGGTTTACAGAAATTTCCCGACCAAATTCATTCGACAGGAGAAAGCAAGTTGAATACCTTCAGCTTTTGTAAAAAAGATGTCAGGCTTCTCATACTTCCTACCATGTTTCTTGATGTCCTCCGCCCACTCAAATGAAAGAGTGAAAGAGCATGATTTAGGTGTATCTGAGGCATGGACATCTGAGGCATGGACACCCGCAAGT